GTGCTCAAATTCAAATTCGAATCTGCCCACCTAGCGACTATTGGGCTGAGGACGACCAAAATATATGTTTATCGTTTTGTTCAATACTATTCATGTTTTAAGTATTTTCGTTCTTTGTTTAAAAATTTCGCATTCATTGCGCATCAAACAAACGAGTAAAAAATAAATCTAGATAATCAGACAAAGAGCGCAATGCTTATGATGTAAATTGGAGGGACCTACATACATATTCTTATATACGTTGCATCTTTCACTATTTATGTTACTCCACATATCAAAACACTCCCAGCACTTTGTGGTCCAATCAATCATCTTGGCTCTACAAACGCCGACTTTCCTTTTTGGAAAGAAAGATGTATGAACATTGTATGGCTTTGATGAGAAGGCGGTAGAAGTTACGGGGCAATTACTCTCTCCATGAAAAATATTGTAGCAGCTATCTCCATAAAACTCATGCTCATGCTCAAAATGAAGTTTTATTGCAATACTATTTTTCACACATGACGTGCATATATCCTGTACCCTGAGTATTGATATACTCGCTACGAAGTGTCTCCCTGTGGTAGAGACTTCCTTAATGATTCTGACGTTCTACAAGTTTATAATACATTCCTTTCCTAGCTAGCAGTGTTTGATGAGTTCCTCTCTCAATCACGCGGCCGTCCCTACAGACGACGATCTCATCGGAATTCTGTAAGTACAAGGTTTAATATGATATTTTGTTCATCTTCATCAAATCAGTTCACTTGATTTGAAGATGACGTGTTTGTTTGTTTTGTGTTTGTTAACAAACCTGTATTGTTGATAAACGATGCGCTATCACTAGACAAGTTCTGCCCTGTCGTGCTTTGTCGAGAACTTCTTGCACAACCTAAAAGCGATGTAAAGCCTTGCTGCAGATATCAGTCTAAATTCTATACAAACTGTCATATGCTCTTTGAGACTCTCAAAAGCAGCTATGTTTTGCCAAAATTTAGCGCCTGCAAATGCCCCTTGGGTAAAATACATTTTTTCTTCATCGTAAGCCTGCTGTAGTGCTTTGCAAGTGCTGCTCTCTTGTCGTTTCGGATATCATTTTTTAATCACTATTCTATGTATTCGCAACAGTTCTTCAGTTAGCAGACAATGTACGTTCTCTCAGCACAAGCACGGAGCTGAAGTAATGCTATATGCAAGTTTCAAGCAAAGCTAGGCCAGACAGACACCTCAGGTCATGCGATAAAACCCCAAAATAAAAGGACAACAACAGAGAAATGATCGTTTACGCAAATTAAGTGAGCACTGGGTAAAAAAGCCATAGGATACAGCACGCAACTGCTAATTTGATTTTGAAGCAAAGTAGGAGGGGGTGCACGAATTTCTAATCAAGATCCAGATCGATGTGGTTTCAGTTTAAGATGAAAACCGATGCTGGCTAAACTTTGCGCATACTTTGAAGCATGACTAGTACCATACGCTGCTTTTCTTCATTAATCCATGCCATTTCATTGAAAAGCTATTTCAGCTACGGGGCTAGGAGTTGGCACATGGGATAAGTGAGCGGCTGAATACACTCATTTAGAATTATCAGTTTTAGTTACTTTTGAACTTTGTGATGAGGAGTTGGAGTGGATAATAGGGGATAA